CTGCCCTGCGCGCCTCCTTCGCCGCCGCCGCCGGAGCGCACGCAGCGCAGGCACCGGCCGGGGAAGCCGCGGCTCAGCCCGCCGCTGCGCCTGACGTCAAGCGAGGAAGATCCCGGCGGAGCGGGCTGGGGGGCGACGGCCACTTCTCGACCCCCTGGCTGGCGCCCTCCCCCCGCGCGGCGCATCCACCGCCCGGGCAAGTGCGGCCGCGGCGAGCGACGAGCCAGGCGAGCGCCCTCCCACCCGAGGAGGAGGAGGCGGAGATGCTCCCCTTTGGTAGGCGCGGGGAGGGAGGGAGGGAGCGGCGGCGGCGGCTTTCCTGGACCTTCCCCGGCCCGGCTTCCCAGCCTGCTTTTGGACGCCGCCAGGCCGCCGGCATCCCTCCTTGGCAGAGCCGGGCACACCTGTTGGGAGGCCAGGCGGCCTTCCAAGGCGGGCAAGAAGAGGCCAGACGGAAGGGGAAGGGGCAAGCGAGAGCGAGCGGAGGCCCGGAAAGACAAACACGGAGCGGGGCTGCTGCCCTCCCGGTCCCGCGGGAGATGGCGCTGCTTGCCAAGGGGCTGGCCGAAGAATGGAGGCGGAGGAGGAGCAGGCAGGGAGAGACAGACAGCCGAGGGTAGCTCTCTCCCTCCCTGCATAGAACAGCCAGGGATGCAGGTTGCCGTCGCAGTTAGCCTTTCGATGGTGCGCTCCTTAGGAGCGTTCGCGCCGGGAATCAGGGGTCCCCTCCCTGCATACAACAGAGACAGCAGGGGTGCAAAAGAGGGGGGGGGGGTTGTGGTGGCAGAGTTCCTGGGGAGGGGGGGATGGAGGTGCTTGGCCGCAGGCGACAAAATCCGTTGAACTGGCCCGGATGATAGACAGTAATGTTTACAGCAACCCTGCAATTTGGGTTTTTTCCTTTTCAAAATAGGTTTCCTGAGACCCACCCAGTGCATCTTTGGCTGGTGGGGAATTTGAACCAGGACTCTTGCAAAACTGGAAGCTCCGGTTCTTACCACCTGGTTGGATACCCACTTCCGGTTCTTACCACCTGGTCGGATACCCACTTCCACTGTGATCCCTGAAATTTTATCTGGGTTTTGTAATCTTAGCCAGCATCACATCCCCTCCATCAGCACACCACTGCCACAGAGGCCTACAGATCGCTGAGCTGGGCTACAAAGCCAAACCTCGCATTGCAGAGCCCCTTTTGAAAAAGAAGGGATATTCTCCTGCCTTCCTGTGCGTGCAAACATTCCTCTCTCCACCACGCACATACCGCCACCCAAACACACACAGCGGAGTGAGAGCACGCTGCAGAAGATTACAGTGCCGTGGCTGTATTCATGGATTATTTGTTAAAAGGATTTTACACACATGGAGGCTGGCAGGCTTTTGTGGCAGGATGTATGCAAAGAGCAGCTAGCACAAATTAATGTTTCCTTTTCAGAACAATCACCTGGTTTCTGTTTCAGCTGTAACTAAGTAAGCTTGTAAGCAATGGGGGTAGGTGGGTTTCCATTAAAATAAACTCCTGCCTAGCATTTGATTCCCCAGCAAGACATTAGGTTATTGACAGTGTACTCCTATGCAGAAAAGATTACACTAGAGTTATTTTGCATGGGGTTGCCCAGCAAATGTTCCACTGAATCTGCTATGGATTTTTTTTTTAGTTCTTTCTGATTCCTTCCGCTTTCTTCTTGCAGCTGTTCTGTAATGAACATGATGCAAAGCAAGTTCCAGACAGGGTAGATGGTACGGAGTCTTCTCTCTCAGGACAGAGAAGTGACATTCAGGCTCCTTCCTGTCCCAGCATGCTTTGATTCATCATCATACAAAATGGTTCCTTTTTAATCCTTCCCTAGTACAATTCGCTTGGCTGACATAGTAGCCATTAAACGAGCTGGGAACCGCTAGTCGTCTCTCTGTTTAGCCTTGTGCCCAGTGGGTGGATTTAGGAAAGCTGCTCCTTACAGTTTGTTAAATGGATAGAGATGGAATTCTAGATGAAGGGACACATCCGTGCTAGGTGATGTTGAGGTTTGAAAGACTAATGAGGTATCTATGGGGTAGCCTTTCTTGTCTCAATATCTTCTTTGTCTGGGGCACCTTGGAGCTTGGATCTGCTGTTCTTACAGTCTAAAATACAAGGGTTCTAACCTACCCTCATATGCTAGTTGTCTGGACGTGGGCATGTGTCCCTCCCCCCATGTGGGAAAGTACCTATCTGCAGTTCGAATGTCACAGATACACTTTACCATGTGGTTTAGATGCATTGTTTAGATGCACTGTAAGATCCACCTCAAAAACGTTCAGATATGGTAGATAATGAATATGGGAATAATTGTCCCCACATATCCTACGTGCTGATCCGTAGCTGTATCTGTAGACATGGTAACCAACTGCTAATGCTCTTGCCTTCATCAAAATGAAACAAGCTACAGAAAATTCATGTCAGACAGGATTGCTCCTATCTTTTCCTTGCCATCACATGTGAACTTCCTTCCTTTAGAACTAAGAGATTGTTCAAATCTGTGGTCCAGGCTGACTACTTGGTATCTTACCCTTGACAGTCTTTCTAAAGATTCTTCATGTCAAGATAAATTAGGTAGCATAACGTTTCTTGGACTGTAGTGATTTCACACTGTAGCTAGAGGACTATCTGTCTACATGGTGGTCAGTTTAGGAGACCATACACCAGGACGTCCATTTGGCTGCAAAAAACTGAAGTGAGTGTCAGCAATTTCAGACATACCTCATTCCTCATTCAGTTCACCTCATTCCTTTTTTTTTAAATCCCCGGAGGGATATTTTTTATTTTATAAAACTACAAAAAATACAAAGAAATAATAGGGAAGGGACTACATCTAAGGAGAAAGAAAAGCAAACCACACTAACCTAAAACCCCAAGAGGAGGAGATCTTTTCACTGTTAGTTAAAATGTTAGTACTGTTAGAGTTAATGTCACAATATACTTGTAGAGTTCTTGCTTGTAACAATTCACCATTTATATGTTATTTTGTTAGTTGGTATGAGAGAAATCTCTGATCATCTTCTTATACTTCGCTTCAAAAGGCCATTTTCCAAGTCCTTCTGCCTTTATTTCCGCTTTCTGTCTCTGAAATCGTATACCACTCTGGCAGGCCCTGCACCCTTTTGTGCCGCAGAGTCCTCTTCTGTTCCTGAGGTAACAGAGTCACTAGACTTCGTATCTTCCTCTTTGGACTCTTCCTTTTCCCCCAGCTGTCATCTCAAAAATTCTTTAGCTTTAAAAGTGGAGTCTATCTTCTCTCTTCTATCGTTGATTTTAAAGATGACACCTTCCGGAACCGCCCATCTGTACGATATCCCATTTGTTTGAAGAAAATAAATTAGATCCTTGTAGTTTTTCTTCTTTTGTCTGATTTCAAATGGAATGTCCTTTAACGTTTTGATGATTACATTTCCCATTTTCAGTGGAGTTGCTGAAGTTGCTTTTAAAATGGTGTCCCTAGTTTGTCTTCTTACAAACTTGACCACTATTTCTCCAGGTAGACTATTTTTTTAATGTAGTTGGAGTATGCCCTATAGCCTACTTCTATTTCGTTTACAAGTTCATCCGCTGTTAAGCCTACTACTGGAGCAATAAGTTCACTGAGCACCTTCTTCAAATCCTCTCGATCTGTTTCAGGAACCCCTGAAACCTGAGAACCATGTTAGCTTTTCCCATCTGAAGCTGTAAAACTCGGTTCTCTTGGCAATTCTGCCTTGTTTCCACCTCTCCCATCCTTTTCTTCAACTTCTTGCTTGTGGTGTCTATCTCTTTAATTGTCTCGTTCGCCTGCTCCACTTTTTTCTCTGTTTCATTCAGCTGGAGCTGCTGTGCAGCAAAATTTTTATTCATCACAGTCAATTGCTGGTTAATACCATCGAGTTGTTCCATCACCGGCTTAAGCATATCCGCCAGGAGTTTGAGGACATCTGTTCCCTCTTCCGGCCTCGGGCTCTGCCCACCCAGTTTCGTCTTAAACTTTCTCTGCTGGGCCGCCATCTTTCCCGTTTTGTTTACAGTTTCTACCGCTCCCTCAAAACTTGGAAAACTCGCCAAACGACTTCGCGATTCAGATAAGTCTCTCAAAACCCTTTCAGTTTACTTCCTCCCCTCACCCCCTTCGTGTCCGTTTACCACTCTTGCAAAAGAGGCATCCCTCTTTGCAATCAGTCCACCTCATTCCTGTGCAGTCTTTTCCAGCTCAGCCCCACCGCACATCTTAAGAGATCCACCATTCAACTAATCTAGGATATTGGGGGAGGTTCATTCTCTTGAGAGCCTAAACATAGGGCTGGGAGGATCGCAGCCTTTTCTGTAACAACCCCAAGGCTATGGAACAACCTCTGTTCATCAGCCACATATACACACACCTTTAGCTTTTTGCTAAATAAATAAAGGGAACTTGGCAGTTGAAAGAAAATGAGAGGGTTTAGGATTTTAATCTTTTTTCCCCTGTTGCCGTTCTTTGCATACATTCTGCCACAAAAGTCTGCCAGCCTCCATGGGTATAAAATCCTTTTAACAAATAATCTGGCTGCTTTTTTTTTTAAGTTAAGAACATAAGAGAAGCCATGGTGGATCGGGCCAGTGGCCCATTCAGTCCAACACTCTGTGTCACACAGTGGCCAAAACCCAGGTGCCACCAGGAGCTCCACCGCAGGGCCAGAACCCCAGAGGTCCTCTCACCGTGGCTCCTGCAGGCACCAATTATACAGAGAATCCACTGTATAACTTGGGTTATTTTGAGGATTCTTATTTTTAAGGTTATGTAAACTACCTCAGATGGTGGGGAGGAAGGATACAGATATTTTCAATCAATAAAATGGGGGTGGGAATCCACAGGAATCCACTTTCCTTCTGGGGCAGCGGGGTAGGCTACAAAAGCCTTTCTCCTTGTACTACGGCCACTCTTAGTTTTGGGAGGGTGGCATGTTAGCAAAGGATCCCGGAACAAGGTCTTCACCTTCCACAGCAACACAGTCAGGGATGAGGAAGAATCTAACCGTGTTCCCTTTACGCTTACCACAGGAAGCCCCGCTCAGCAGCAATGGAGCAGAGGTCCATCAGTGGCTATTAGCCACAAGGTATAGATAGGAACTCTCAGGCTGGGACAAGTGATGCTCTGTATTCCTGGTGCTGGGTGGGTGGGGGGCAGCAGTGGGAGAGCCTCTAGTGTCCTGGCCCCACTGCTGGAGCTCCTAATGGCACCTGGTATTTTTGGCCACTGTGTGACAGAGTGTTGGACTGGATGGGCCATTGGCCTGATCCAACATTGGCTTCTCTTATGTTCTTAATCTGGAGCTGTACAGAGTCTCACACTGCCCATTGCCCAGTTTAAGACTGCAGCAGTTGTTTTCTGCTCAGGATGTGAATTGCTCCACTCCACAGAGGGGGGGGGGGAATCAGAGGGAACAGTGGCCGGGGAGTGTGCCATGCCAGAGTAACATTCTACTCGTCTGGTGTGTTCATCATGCCATATAATTCCCTATTTCTGAAGGATTACCTAATTTCCACTCACGGCAACATGTTTCCTCTGGATTCAAAATCTGACCAAAGATATAAAGTATTCCCTAAATAGGATATATATATATATATATATATGTTAAACGATTGTAATTAGTGATTGTTTCCTAGCAGTGCAGTCATTTCGATATTATTTTATTCCCACAGTTAAAATGTGGTCTTGGTGGAGTGCACGATTACTAAGTAGCAACATGTGACCCCATTCAGTCAATGAGGATTATTTATTGTGGAGTTTGCTGTTGGCTAAACTAGAGATTCTGGTGTGTGTGTGTGTGTGAGAGAGAGAGAGAGAGAGAGAGAGAGGGACATCAGTGCCTCATTCTAGGAGACTTCCTGGTTGCAGATAGGCTGTTGAGGTAAGTGCTAAGAAACAAGGTATTTAATTAATTGATTGATTGATTTTGTTAGACTTGTCTCCTGCCCTCAGGGTGGGTACCAACATATATGTCTACAAAAATGCAGATCTGCAGTTAAAACAATTCATAATTTAAAGTTAAGATCTGCAATTAAAGCAGATTTACAATAAAACAATAAGATACATTACACGAATCCATTTAAAATCACCAAGATCACCATAGACTTTAAAAAGGTAGTGAAAAGGCCAGGATCTAGGACTGCTGTCCTGTAGGTTCTATGGAAGTCACAAGGAGGTTTAGAACAAAACAAGCAAAAAAAGTTTGGGTGGCTCCGTGGGAGGAAAGTATGGAAGCCACTAAGCTAGACCTCCGCATGGTCTTGCACAAAGCTGATTTTACTTCCTTTCTCAAGACCACTGTGAAATCCTACGCAGAGGTACTCCAACCAAGTAGTGCAATCTTAAGAGCACTATTCTGCTTAGGACTGCATCTGTTGATTTCTGTGAGGTTAAACTAGAGTCACTGCATAGGATGGCAGTGTAAATGTATAAGAAGAGCTTCTGCTACTTCCTACTTTCAGAGAAGAGAAGAAGAGGAGATTGGATTCATACCCCACCCTTCACTTGGAGTCTCAGAGCGGCTTACAAACTCCTTTTCCCTTCCCTTCCCCACAACAGACACCCTGTGAGGTAGGTGGGGCTGAGAGAGCTCTGAGAGAAATGTGACTGGCCCAAGGTCACCCAGCTGGCTTCATGTGGAGGAGTGGGGAAGCAAACCCGGTTCTCCCAGATCAGAGTCTGTGCTCTTAACCACTACACCTAACTGCCTCTGACAGAGCCCTTACTATATCAACGTATCTACTGAGGAACCCCAGCTTATCAAAGGTTTCTTGGGCATCTTCTATGAACTGAGTGTGCATCCTGGCATATATCTTATGCACTTTCTGCAGGGGCTTATCCATGGCGGGACACAAACTGTCTTTCATGGATGCTTCCCCATGGCTAAACAGATCTTCTCATGGAGGAGCGCTTGATAAGACCTGGAGGAACCACATTGATACAACAATATTCAGTAGCCAGTTAAAAAAAAAAAAGATGGGGGAGGAAATGTCCACTGCAGCAATGGGCAGTTGCTGTGTGCGCAAGACTGAGAAAATCCAAACTTTCCTGCCTACACAGCAGCCATCCAGGCTTTGCTGGAATCTCTCCCAATACTTCAGAGCAGAGAATGTTTTGGAAAGGTTAGGGAAAAGCCAAGGAAATCCTAGGAGATGCACAATGCACGTTGATGTTGTGCAGAAGCAGGAAAAGACCTGCTTTGAAATCAGGGCAGATAATCTGTGTAGAAATAACCCTTATCTAATGAAGTACTGCTTCAATACATCCATGGCATGAGGTTACTATTATAGAAAGTATTTGTGCCATTTGCTGATATTGTGCCATTTCAAAGCCAGCACACATAAAGCCAAGCAGGATATTACATGTTTTTTAAAATCCCGAGCCACTGTTTCCCATGGAAAGGTGGTTTAACCCCTCATCCACCCACCCACCCACACAAATTCGCTGCTCTGAACTGCTACCCCCTCCTCAAGCAATTCCCACCACAGCATTCTTTGCAAGAAATGTATCTGGAAAACCACAAGTAGATGCTTGGAAGGAGCAGAAAACAGAAAGAATGGGAATGACTCCCCCCCCCCCATCTTCCCATGAGGCACGTGGGTCGACAATGAGGCCCTCCACCAAGGGAAGTTATATGATGGTTGAAAAATTGGTGTCTGCCGGAAATTTATTTAGGGAACACCCAGTAAACCTCTGGCATACCCAGGGCACCTTGGAACACAGTGTGAAAACAAACCCCCCCCCCGAGGGGGGGGGGGGGGGGAATTTATCTGAACCAAAACAATTAAAAGGGAGAGATGGGAAGCTCCCAAGGGTTGTCCCCTCTGCCTGTTTTCAATCCAAATGACACGAAATTTGCAGCTTTGAGTCTCCTAACAGTCCAGCAAGGGAGATGAGTGGGATGTTTAAATGAGAATCCATGTTCTCTCCCTAATTAATCCGACATCCTCCTGACCCTGTATTGCAACGGATTGGGAAGGAGAAAAGAGAGGCGATTTCTGTGTAAGCTGCCCGAGGCCCAGAGGGAGACCCCACCCCACTGCAAAGGCTCTTTTATTTTCTATTCAGAGGGATTAAGTGCCAGGCCATTGACAAATCACGACAAAACATCTGTAGAGGGAGCATTCTCTCCAGCCAGTCCTAATCCAGGACAAAATTTATTAATGCATTCAGGCCATTCATACACTTCTATCTATAGAGCTTGGCTGCTCTATTTCATGGCATGCTTGCAGGTGCTGAGGGCCTCTCCCTGCCCCCAGTTCAGTTTATAGATGTCTAGAAACCACCCAAGGTTATTTGCCAAGTCTGGGGCAGGAAGAAGGAAGAGAACCCCTGTATGGAATGTCACTAGCAAAGCGGGTCACCCCATGCCAATCCATACAGCACCTGCAAAAGCAGCCTTGCACAAACCTGGGGAGCCACATGTGGGGGTGCCAGGGTCCCTATAATAACCGGCAAGGGATGGGGGGGGGTAGGGTTGCCAAATCCAGGTTGGGAAACTCCTGGAGATTTGGGAATAGAGCTTGGGAAGGAACGGAACCCAGTGGGGTACAATGGCATAGATTCCATCCTCCAAAACGTCCTTTTTCTCCAAGGGAACTGGTCTCTGTCGCCTGAGGATGAGCTGTAATTCCAGGGGATCCCAAGGTCCCACCTGGAGGCTGGCACCCCTAACCCACAGGTATGCAAAACCACATTAGTTTCGGCTCGTCTCCCCTCAAAGAGATTCCACACACCCCACACACCCTAAAAAATCAGGAGTCAGATTGCCTTTGAGGCATGCTGCCCTTGAATCCTGACAGTATGAAGCCAGAAAGTCTCCGGCTTCCTTCTGCCTGGTGGACATTTGGATGATGCTACATATTTTCCACCAGCCTCCCTGGGGTGGGGGCCATAAAAAGGCCAGCATCCCCCTGCTTCTAGATTCTGCTTTCCTTCAGGACCCTTTCGCTATTAGAAGTTTTGTGCCCCTCCCCCCACTTACAGCATAGACGATCCTGGAAGGTATCACTTTTTCTCAGGTTCTAATTACCGTATTTTTCGGACCATAAGACGCACTTTTTCTTCGAAAAAAAGTGGGAGGAAAAGTGAGTGCGTCTTATGGACCGAAGGCGGCGCTGGCGCCCCCCCCCCGCCGCGTCTGGGA